CATTGCCATCCCTAATCACATCTCTTCTATCAATAAAATTTAAATATAAAAATTTATTTAAAAACAAAGTTATCATAAGTTAGAAATATATATTATAAATATGGATCAAAATAAATAAGAAATTTTAAAAAATTCATATACTCTAATTAAAAAAATGCCTAAAAATCCAATCGTAAAAAAAACCTCTAAATATTTTTTCACATAAATAACTATTGGTATTAATTATGTAGGAGTGCATATAAATATTTTTTTATTATAAATTAATGTCTTGCTCTTACAAAAAAAGAAAATGGGATTGATAGTCAATAACAATATTATCATCACTTTGAAGCAATTTATAATTTTTTTTAAGTTTTTTTTAGCGACCAAATAGAATTTCGTCGCTAATTTTAACTAATATTTAGTGACCGAATAGAATTTCATCGCTAATTGTAACTAATATTTAGCAATCAAATTTAATTTCGTCGCTAAAAAAATCAAAATTTCTGATTTAGCGACCGAATTGAATTCGGTCGCTAAATTTAACTAATACTTAGCGACCGAATTCAATGCTGTCGCTAATTTTAACTAATATTTAGCGACTGAATTTAATTCTGTCGCTAAAAAAATCAAAATTTCTGATTTAGCGACCGAATTGAATTCGGTCGCTAAATTTAACTAATACTTAGCGACCGAATTCAATGCTGTCGCTAATTTTAACTAATATTTAGCGACTGAATTTAATTCTGTCGCTAAAAAAATCAAAATTTCTGATTTAGCGACCAAATTTAATTTTGTCACTAAAAAAATCAAAATTTCTTGTTTAGCGACCGATTTTCTACTGACGACTTATTTTGGTCTCTAAATCGGTCTTTATTTTGATTATTCATAATCGGTCGCTAAATCAGTCGCTAAATAGTGACTGATAAATTTCGGTCGCTATTTTACAATTTTCTAGTAGTGAGAAACCAAACATTTAAGGCTACATCTTTTATGAATACCATGAAACTTAATTCGAGCATTTAAGGCTCCTTGTAACGATTACAAGTAACAAATGTTACTTTTTGCACACAAGACATGCGACTCACATAACTTTATCATTTCTTAACATTTTTATGTGATTTTGAGTATTAACTAAACATGTAGCCCCAAACATTGTATTTCCATACCAACAAATGAAACTCTATTTGGTTAATCACAAAGAGAGAAATTGCCTAAATATTGAGGCATGTTTATACGAAAATTTTTGGAATCAAAGAAATCACATGAAACCCTCAAATTATGCATACATCCCTAACCCCTAAAGAGACAACATGAATAATCATAATTCAATAGATTCATAATCATAAAACCACAAAAATATCAAACATCATACATCTCATCAAACACATCAAAATAAATCCTAAGGAGGCTTAGGAATTGCCTCACTACCTATATGATAGTGCACAATTAATACGTATTTTAGTACATTACTTTGGACTTATTTTACATTTATAAGTGTCTTAAATTGATGAATTGGTTGACATTTGTTTTAGTGAACTATTTTGGTTTCAATACATGTCATTGTGTATTGATTTTATCACACCTATTATCTGTGTTGTGAAATTGCTTATACTAACCTTACTCTAACCATTTTTGTTGAGTTTTGTGGTTTTGTATAATATTGCTCACAGACACGTTTTCAGAGTTTTTTCTTTGGGTTAAAATTTTTTCTCCAAAGGTAAAAGTGATTCTAAGCAAACTTTCTCCCAAATTCCACCATTTAGGGCTTAGGGTTTAAGAGTAAACTAGGTGGAAAATTGCCAAATTCCATCATTTAGACCACTTTTTCAATTTTTTTAATTTTTGATATTTTTAAAAATCACCAAAATTTATAGAAAATAGGAAATTTGATATTAAATGGGTATCTAATAGTCTTGTATATTTTAAAAAAATTTATTTGGTAGTGCTTTATAGTGAGTTTTGCCTCGGATTGCAAAAGAATAAGTGTGGGGGCATTTGATAGATCAATTTTTGTATGTCTTTCTATGCATTATTTTTTATTTATATAACTTTTATTAGTATCATATTGTGATATATTAATTTTGATTTGTTCTAGTGAGTCAGTTTGGTCTTAGTTGTAAATTCTAGTTAATTTTCATAATTTTTCCTATTTTGACATTATTTCTTTTGTAGGTCATATCTAGAACTCCCGGCATTGGATTAAGGCGTTCTAGGTGTCCTTGGAAAGATAAGAGAGAGTTCTACAACTTCTCTACTGGAAGAAAAGGCCAATTTGGATGTTAAGTGACCCAAAATTGCATTGTAAAGTTGCGATCTTGCATATTATTTTCTTTTTCTTTTTAGATTGTAATGTTAGGATTTGTTTAATGATGTAATTAGTTTATTTAGTGGGTTAAACCTTTAATTACTCAGATTATTAGACCCATTAGTGTAGTCTATAAGTAAGTGTAACACATGTACACTTGATATGATATTCCTAATTTTTCAGATTTTAGAGTTGCTTTCTCTATAATTTTCTCTAAATTCTCTCTCTTTCTTTCTTTCTCTCTCTCTCTCTCCCTCTCTCTGTATTGGATTTTCTCTCTTACTTACGAATTGGATTACTGCAACATGATTATGATGTGTGACTAGTTCGTCAATCGATTCTAGATGATCAAGAACTCGATAAAATTTGAGTTTTCGATCTTTTTATCGAATGAATTCTTTGTTTGTCTTCTTCTTTATTTTAGGTTTTTCTTTTGTTTTTCATGATTATGAATTTTGTTTTAGATCTAAAATAGATATTAAAGATTAATTTCATATCTAAATTTAGATTTAAATTTAGATTTAGACTTAAAATAACTTAAATCGCGTAATTTAACCATTCATTATTCTTGAATTTTATTAAAATTATGAGATCGGGATTGTATTTCATGTTTGATGAAATTCATATATCTAGATTTAAATCTGTTTTTTATTATTATTAAATTTGTGTTGAATTAGGTTGATTGAGAATTCAGATTTATTGTTAAACTATGAAAATTTTACTGGCGGATTGAAACCTTGAACTAATGTTTCTCTGATTGAATTTTTAAATCCTAATTCTCAGTTTTGTTGATTAAATAATATGTTAAAATATTAAAAATCCACTTACTAATTATGTGATAAAATACCAATTAAATGTGCTTATATCTTCATGAAAAATAATTTATGTTGTTCCTTGTATTATAAACTTTTAAGAGAAATTTAATTTATTTTTAATTGTAATTTCACAATCCTATCAATCGCATTATCTGGTTTGCATTTTTTTTTAAGATCTAAGCTACATCCTTCAAAATGACGAGGTCCATTTTAGACTTATCACACTAAATAGTAATTATTAGGACCGAAGTCATCAAGATATCTTGACGCTTTTGTAGAGTAAACCAACAAAAAGACTTGACAATAGCATGCATCTTTTTTTAATGTTAATAAGATTAAAAAAAACGAGAATTATTTCAAAAAGAAAAATGTTTGAAAATAACAGCACATCAATGAGTACAATTTAAGAATGCTATTTGCCATTAAAAACAAAAAATAAAATAATTAAAAATTGAGTCCACACTTTGGAATTACGACGTCGTTTGTATCCATGATATTGATTTGTTTCTAGAAAAAGTAGAATCAACACTAATTCTACTGAGGTGACAATTCTACCCGACTTCCTTTTCACTCTCCCTAAGTAAGTGTGGTTGAAATATTCAAGTCAAAAGTGTTTTCTAAAGTTTTTTTAACTAAAAAAAAGTATTTGTACTATTCGTATCGTCATGCCGAGCTTGAGCTCGACATCACAGCATGAAGTGACCTCGGATACGCGTCAGACAACGTCAGCCCGACATCCAAATAGATCATAACTGATCTCAGGCCCAAGACCCAATGAAACCCTAATTCACACAAAGGTACGTGCATTACTTATACGAGACTCATACATCCACAAACACTAACTTTAGTATCAGAGTCTCTTTTGCAGGTATCACCCCCGCCTTGGAACAACAAGCGTACCCAGTGAAGAAGGCTCACTAATCTTGCCTAGCAGATCGTTCCTACGACCGATCTCCGGTAAGAACAGTATTCTTTACATTTAATAAATAACAATTTTAAAAATACTTCTTGTACCAACCTGGCTTATAGCCGAGCTCAACCGAGTTCATTAGACAATGTTGACCGAGAGGACCACCTAGTCAAACTAAAGTAAACATATGAAGTGCTGAGGTGTGACATCGGATAGAGGAAATCAGGAATACACCTCGGCACAGAAACGATATCGAATATGGCTCAACTGTCGATAACCTTCAGAAGATAACCATACAACAGTTACACGGTTACGTAGGGACGACCACAGGTAATGATATAGGCAATACATGACATTGAGCAGACGACTAACTTGATCGTCGAAGTCCTTTTTGCAGGTACATCCGAGACGCGCAAGAGAAAGATCAACCGAGAAGACTTGTTGTGCAGGCCAACTTCATCAGATCCCTTACAAGACCAACATGGACAAGATGGATTACCCGAGCTGAAAGTCCGACCTCAGTCTTGTAAGAACATTTGGCGTTAGAAGAAGGGCCTGGTAAAACTTTTCCTCCCTCACCCTTATGGTTTCAACCCGAAGTCAGACCAACAGAGCAACAAGTACACCACATTCGACCACACCGAATATGGAAGACAACCCGGCCTTACGAAGGTTACTTGAACAAATCGAATTGATGTAACAACAACATGCAGCGGCGATGGAAAACCTTCGTAAACAACATGAAGCCGACTTGCAACAGTTACGCGCCGAACAAGCTGCATTCTGAGCCTAGTGGCAACAAAATCAACCACCACCACACACTCATCATGCTAGCCGTGTTCCTCATACTGCCGATGAACATCAGTCCTCTCCCGATCCTACATACCCACCAGAACCCACACCAACTCACCGATCTGCACATACTCATATCAGCCATTCTGAGCACGATCTTCATTCCACTCGACGACACCCTTTCGTTGATAGAATTATGGAAGTTCCCCTTCCTCCTACTTGGAAACCGTTAAACATTGATAGATATGACGGAACCACTGACCCTAATGAGCACATTAACGCATATGTTACTCAAATCAACCTTTACACGAATGATGACACCATCATGTGCCGCGTATTTCCAACATCACTCAAGGGAGCAACCCTTAGTTGGTACACACAATTACCACCCAGATCGGTAGACAGTTTTAATACTCTGGTCCATTTTTTCTCTGACCAGTACGCCACTAGCAGGCCTCATCATATCACCTCTACAGCGTTATCTAACTTGCTACAACAAGATGATGAATCTCTCAGGCATTTTATGGAACATTTTGCCAACGTCTCCATCAAAATCCGAAATCTTAATCCAGAGGTCGCCCTCCATTCCATGTTGATGGCACTCAAACCTAGACCCTTTGTTGACAGCCTGTGTCGACACCAGCCCGCAAGCATGGACGAACTGAGGGCACGCGCCGCCGGATACATACAAATGGAAGAACAAGCTGAATTCTGTAACACTATCCGAGATGGCCTCACTATCAAGGCAGAATCCAGTAACAGGGAGAAGCAAAAGAATCATTTCGATCAAAGATCCAAAAGACCTTGTCAAGCACGAGGCCCCAGGTATGATTTTTATACACCCCTTAATGCTCCTCGAGTCAATATTTTGGAGGAAGCTAACCATGCAGATCTAATCTCCTTGCCCCCTCCGGCCTACAACTCGGCCAATGCCGACAAGAGCAAACATTGTCGATATCACAGAAATCACGGGCACACAACGGAGGAATGTTGGAGCCTCAAGGACAAAATTGAAGAACTGATTCAGGCTGGTCACCTTGGACAATACATCCAACGAGGTCAAGCTTCCCACGGACGCGGTAGAGGACGAGGTCGATATTCAAACCGATATCAAGGACGATACCAAGGTCACCAAGGCCGATCTGAGCAAGGCAACTATCAACAAGCACCTACGCGTGAAGAAAACAAACCTAGTGCAAACAATGCCGATCCACAGCACGGAGATAAACCCTCTGCCGAGAATAACTTGCGTGGGATCATCAATACCATTGCGGGGGGTTTCGTTGGAGGAGGAAGTTCTAACTCTGCCAGAAAGCGACATTTACGCAATGTTCACAACATCAATGATTACCACAACTCGGATTCAAAAATGATCCCATCAAATCCTCCCATCGTTTTCACCGATGACCATTATGAAGGCATAAGCCTCAACCAAGATGATCCCATGGTCATCTCGGTCGAGGTGGCTAACTGGGAGGTTCAGAAATCACTAATTGACCAAGGAAGCTCTGCCGATGTGCTCTATTGGCCCACTTTCTTGAAGCTTGACATCCCCCATAACATGATCCAACCATATTCTGAACCCAACCTCTTGTTGGGTTCGCAGGTGAGCGAGTTCATACTCGTGGTTTCATTAAATTATTAACCTCTTTTGGTACAGCTCAAACTTCCAGAAGAGTATTGGTGAAGCACTTGTTGGTTGACGCTGTCACCTCCTACAATATTCTTATTGGGAGACCGACATTAAATCAGTTAGGAGCGATCGTGTCAACACCCCATTTGACTATGAAATTCTCGGGTACAGACGGGCATATAATAACTGTCAGAGCTAATCAGCAAGTAGCAAGACGATGTTATGCCGAGAGCCTGAAGATTGCATCTTCCAATCTTCAACCTGAGAAATCAACCTCTACTATCGTCGCCCATCTCGGTACAAAGGAAACGGCTGACCTGGATCCCCGAGTTGACATGCATGATCGTCGACCTGATCCCATTGACGAACTAATTGAGTTCCAAATTGGCAAGAAACCAAACCAGTGCACCAGAATCGGAAAGCACGTTGAAACTCATGTACAAGGTAAAATCATGTCAATACTTATTGGAAACGCTGATCTTTTTGCTTGGAACAGTGCAGATATGCCTGGGATAGATCCAAATTTTATTTGCCACAGATTAGCTATCCACAGGGAAGCAAAGCCTGTATCTCAGAAGCAAAGAAAGATCGGAGGTGAGAGAAGATAAGCTGTCAAAGCTGAAACACAAAAGCTTTTGAGTGCAGGGTTTATCTTAGAAATTAACTACACCACTTGGCTAGCCAACGTGGTAATGGTTAAAAAATCCAATGGCAAATGACGCATGTGTGTCGACTACACTGACTTAAACAAAGCCTGCCCAAAGGATGCTTATCCGCTTCCCAGCATTGATAGATTAGTTGATGGAGCTTCAGGATATGCCATGCTCAGTTTCCTGGACGCCTACTCAGGCTATAACCAAATATTGATGTACCCTCCAGATGAAGAACACACTGCTTTCATCACAGAACAGGCCAACTATTACTACCATGTCATGCCCTTTGGACTCAAGAATGCAGGAGCCACCTATCAAAGACTCATGGACAAGGTCTTCGCCAGTCAGATCGGACGTAACCTTGAAGTGTATGTTGACGATATGGTTATCAAGACAAAATCCGTTGAGCATCATGTCCAAGACCTTGCAGAAATTTTTGGGCAAATACAAAAACATAACATGAGGTTAAACCTAGAAAAATGTGTCTTTGGAGTTCAAGGAAGCAAATTCTTAGGTTTCATGGTCACTTGCCGAAGAATTAAAGCAAACCCCGACAAGTGCCAAGCCCTGATAAACATGAGAAGTCCCAAAAATCACAAAGAAGTACAGAGGTTGGCAGGGCGACTTGCTTCGTTATCTCGGTTCATTCCCAAGCTGGCAGAGAAGGCCAAGCCAATCTTCAATTTACTCAGAAAGCCAAAAGAGTTCTGCTGGAGTTCTTAGTGCCGCACTCATGCAGGAAAATAACAAAAAGCAAACTCCTATTTATTTCATCAGCCGAGTACTACAACACACCGAGAGAAGATATCAAACAATAGAGAAGTTGGTTTTGGCACTAGTAGTCGCATCTTGCCGACTTCGTCCATATTTCCAAAGTCATCAGGTTATTGTTAAGTCGGATTACCCGATCAAGCAAATACTCAGAAAACCCGACCTGGCCGGACGGATGATAGCTTGGTCAGTCGAGTTGTCCGAGTACGGTATCAAGTATGAAAGCCGAGGACCACTAAAAGCCCAATGTCTGGTTGATTTCGTTGCTGAGCTCACCCCTGTTCCACCTTTGGATAGATTTGGACATTGCACGTAGATGGATCCTCTAATGTGAAAGGCAGTGGTGCTGTCATTATCCTTGAAGGGCCAAATAACATTATGCTTGAACTTGCCATTAAATTTGATTTCAAAGCCACTAATAATCAAGCTGAATATGAAGCTTTGTTAGCAGGTTTAACACTGGCCAAAGACGTTGGAGTCAGAAGATTAAAATGTTGCAGTGATTCCAAGCTAATCACTGAACAAGTAGGAGGAAGTTATCAGACTAAAGATCCCCAACTTCAAAGGTATAATCTTATGGTATCTCGTCTTACAGATTTTTTCGATGTTTTTCAGATAGAGCACATCCCAAGAGCTCATAACGTCAGAGTCAATTTGTTGTCGAGGCTTGCTAGCACTAAACGTCCCGGTCAACATAAGACTATCATCCAAGAAACCATAGCTGCCCCTAGTTGTCAAATTACAACGATTTTTGCTAGCAATCCTTGTCAGCAAGGTTGGATGGCCGATATCTGGAGATATCTCAAAGATGGGATCTTGCCAGATAGCAAGGTGGAAGTAGCTAAGATTAAAAACAAGTCATGCCACTTCACCATTGAAGCTGATGAATTGTTCAAATGAGGTTTCTCCATGCCTCTCCTCAAGTGCTTAGATACAGATCAGGCTAAATACATAATGGATGAGATCCATCGCGGCATTTGTGGTATGCATTCTGGAGCTCGGTCCATGGTTGCCCGAGTTATCCGAGCTGGATACTACTGGTCAACTATGAGATCGGATTGTAAGTCATATGTACAGAGATGCAAGGCTTGCCAAGAGTTTGGAAATCTCCACCGATTACCTCCAACAACTTTACAGTCCATGCAGTTAACATGGCCCTTTGCCTGGTGGGGGATGGACATTCTTGGTCCTTTTCTAATAGCCAAAGGCCAACTAAAGTTTCTACTAGTTGGAATTGACTACTTCACAAAATGGATTGAAGCTGAAGCACTAGCAAAAATCACTGCGGCCAATGTCCAAAAATTTACATGGAAGAAAATTATCTGCAGATATGGCTTACCTAGTGCCATAACCACCGACAATGGAAAGCAGTTCGTTGATAAAAATTTTGAACAATTTTTGGGACAACTCGGAATTAATCACAAAGTTACTTCAGTTGAACATCCACAAACCAATGGTCAAGTTGAAGTTGCCAACAAGGTTATCCTCTGGGAACTCAGGAAAAGACTTGGCTCATCAAAAGGAGAATGGGTGGACGAGCTCCCAGGTGTTTTGTGGGCCTATCATTGCACACCACAAACTACCACTCAAGAAACCCCATATAAGTTAACTTATGGGTCTGATGCCATGATACCAGTGGAGGTCGGAGAACCAAGTCCCGAAGGCTGACTTTTGATACCACTCAAAATACAGAAGCGTTGAAAACGGATCTCGATCTTGTGGACGAAATCAGAGAATGCTCCCAAGTTCAAGAAGAGGCATGCAAGCTCAGAGCTTCAAGGAGATACAACTCCAAGCTTAAACCGAGATCCTTTCGAGAAGGAGACCTTATTTGGAGAGCTGTTGGAGAAGCTAGAAAAGAAATATCAGCAGGGAAATTTGCAGCTAACTGGGAAGGCCCTTTCCGTATTTTAGAATGTCTGCAAAATGGTGCATACAGGCTTGTGGAATTGAGTGGCAAAGTCATCCCCAGGACTTGGAATGCTACTCATTTGAAATTTTACTATAGTTGAACTGTGTAAACCCAGGTGATGTACTCTTTTTCCTACTTCAGACTTTTTTCCCCATAAAAAAGAAGGGTTTTGGCTGAAGAGGTTTTAACGAGGCACGCCTGAGGTCAGCAAGAGAGATGTAATGCATATATAACTCTACATTATAAATTCTCTCTTCTTGCAATTTGGTTATTCTCTTTCCTTCCAATTTAGTTTCTTATTCTTAATTCTTATGCCAGTTCTCATTCTAAAAGTTGGCCAAATCCGAGCCAATATTAACAAATTTGGCTAAATTTGACTTTCAACTAAAAAACTGGCCAAGTTTGAGCCAATATTATTTTTCAGTGGCCAAGTTTGAGCCGACCAAGTTTGAGCCAAATTTTCTACTTATCTCGGCCAAGTCTGAGCCAATGTTATCATTTGCATATGATACTCAGCCAAGTTTGAGTCGAATTTTCTACTTATCATATGATACTCGGCCAAGTTTGAGTCGAATTTTCTACTTATCTCGGCCAAGTCTGAGCCAATGTTATCACTTGCATATGATACTCGGCCAAGTTTGAGTCGAATTTTCTACTTACCCATAATTTAGCCAAACTTGAACAAAATTTATGCTTCGTTCATAATACGACCACATTTGAGTTGATTCTATTTTATTAATATATTGGGTAAATTGTTGTCGAGGCATTCAACTTAGTTTCAATTCAAATAGTTGATTCTACTTATTACCTCTCTGTTTTTACTTTAGCTAAGTTTGAAGTCAAACCATATTCATGATAGATATTCAGAGCTTCAATCAAGTTTGAAGTCAAATTTAAACATAACAACATAAATAACTTAATATCCAGAACATCACAACATTGTCAAAAATTCCATATTTAGCCTACGAAGGCAAGAGAAAGCAGTAATAAACATAAATCTTAAATGCAAAATATCCTAGTAATCATCAAACTAGCAAAGCTATTCATTATTCTCCTCGTCGCTTACATCATCAGGGATGTCATCTTCATGAACAAGTTTTCCTTTGAAAACATCCTTGGTGATGTGAACTTCTCACAAGTCGACATTTGGGGCAATAACTTGTACTTGTCTTAGTGCTTTCGCAAAACCCCTCTTGTGCTCCACAACCACTTGGTATTCGGTAGTCTCCATCTCACTCTTCATCTTTTTGTTATCATTATCTAGTTCCCCAATCTTTTTCACATTGATGGCAATAACTTCTTGACATGCTTTGTTTTTCTTGTACAGCTCTACCATCTCGTCCTTTAAGCTTTGAATATTCCCCTCATAATCCTTTGTTCTCTTTTTCCAGCATTTTCACATTCTTTGCTTGAGCTTCTTTTTCTTTCTCCAACAGATTCACCTTCTTCAAAAGATCCTCCACTTTCGCTGCATAAGATTTATTTGATCTCACCGAGATTTCAAAAGCCTTGGAATTTTCCTCCAACTTTCTCTTCAAATCGCCAACCTCATTCACCAATGACCCGACCTGTGCACTTTCAGTTCTCAGCTTGGCCATTAATGTAGCATTTTTCTCCCACTTTTTCTTCCAATGATCCACCACAGCGATGGATCTTTGTAGAAACACTTGCATCGAGTCCAAACCTTGAACAGCTCCAACCTTTTCAATTAAGGCTTTATCCGCAATATAGGCCGGATCCTCCTTGTAGAATGACTCTACAGTCAACCCGGCATTCCAAAAGGATTTCACATCGGGTGACATGCTCACATGATCCAACCTTGATAACGGATTCTCAGTATCATATCTCTGATGTATTGATCTCGGTCGATTTTTGGATGACCCCCCATGCGGGGTCGGCGAACTCACACCGAGTTAAGCAATTGAGGCCTCCAAATTAGACACCAACTGATCCGATGACTCAGGAACTTGTGCGTTTGAAGGCTACAAAAGACCAATTTGAAATTAGGACAATAAGAGGAATCATACCTTTTCTTTCATATAATATCTAATAACAACAAGAAACATACCTTTTCTTTCTCTAAATCAATAATAGGAATGGTGATGCCTTTCTCAACATCCTTCTTCGGAGCACTCGAGCTCACAATGTGGGCAGCAGCCTCATGCTTCTCACTAATCACATCGTCAGCAATCTTATGCTCCTTGGTTTTTAGCTCTTCACTTCCTATATTCTGTTTCTTCACCTTCGGCTTAGGAGGAGCTGTATCCGGAAT